CAGATAGCCCTCGTGTAGCTTTGCGCGAAATTCAAAAAACAAACAAACAATAATAACGCGAGGCTGAAAATGGAGAAATAGATACATGATTTTTTTTCCTGGCTAACCTATCAGTCTCCCATCACCATGTGATAAATTAATAAGTATTAAAGTGAAATACTTCATAATATATAATGTTTCTAAATATAATAGGAGTAACGCAAAAGCACGGTGAAAATTATGATAGATCAACAAAAACAAACAGAGATTACGTGGTTTCTAAGTAGTTTTTACTGAGTCAGAACAGTTAATCTTTTAGTAGCGAGTTCCAGTTCTGGTTCCGGGTTGTACAACCCCAGTTGAAGTTCTTCTGGCGCTGTTTCACGCATAATGGCATTTTTGTGAATATTTGTTTATTTTGTTTGTTCTTAAGCACAAAGCTACACAATGGACTATCTGTGCTATGCCCATTGCTAGTATCAAAACCCAAATTTTACACAATGGGCTATCTTTGCTATGCCCATTGCTAGTATCGAAACCTAAATTTTAAAACCCTTAGATTTACCACAGAAGGGCGCTTTGTGAGAAAGTTACAGACTGGTTAGACATCTTAAATGTGCCTTTTCTCGTCACTACGTAAAAATCGAAAAGCAAGTTTTAAGTCAGTGCACCTAAAATTCCATTGAAACGGAGAACACGTCAGATGTGACATTCCATTATGCATGTAGAGGAATACAGAGCATCGTAATAAACCTGTTTTTATTTTTGAGTGTAAAAGGGATGAGCAGAACATAATCTAAGATTGAGAGTGGCTTCTTTTTTCTTCTCTTTCTAGCTTTCTGATTGCGTTTGTCATCTACTGATTGGACACATCACTCTCTAAGAAGATTATCGTGACACTCTAACTTGCCAATACACACACACACACAGGAAAATAAATCTGTGAAATTAATATTTGTGTTGCATGTTTAATTCAGAGGCTGATCCAGGATTTTCAAAAGGGGGGGCCCAAAGGAATGGATACCGGAGAGTCTGTTGAAAACTGCATATTTGTATTTCCTTAGTTAGTTAATTATTAAATTTTAAAACAGGAAAGATAATTTTGGATCACTAAACAGCTAACACTATTCTACAACGGGTATTAGGAAAGAAATGGGACATTTAATTCCTGTAGGTCAGCCATATTACATTACAATCTACAAACGCACACTATTAGCGTTAAGTGTGGATAACTTGTCACCTTTCAACATAGTTCTCGCGTGTTCTCATTGTTTCGCGATCTTCAACAGTCCCAAACGAGACGCGTGTTCTTTAATCTAGTCCCCATCAAATGTGACGCATGTTCTCATCGTTTCGTGGAACTTCATCATGCCAGTCCGGTAAAATGAAGGACTTTTAATTAGTGCAGTAATAATTACGTCTATCTTTAGTTGACGATTTTTTTACACCCTTTCTTGAACAAAATCTAGTAATTCTTATTTATTTTAATTTGTCTAAAAATCTCGGATTTTCAATTTTTTTTTGAACCCCTACTGCGACGCTAAAAATTAAGTATCGATACCTAGTGGGCAGAGCACACATAGCCCATTGTGTAGCTTTGTAGTTCACCAACACCCAAACCAAATCATCTTTATTAATCACAATAGTATGTTATATTTTACACTGTTGGTTTTTAAACATTTGATAAATAATAGAGAAAACACGTTTGTTTTTCATTAACTTTTGTCCTTTTATTAAGTATTCAGTAAATCAATATAACTACAATAGTACATGTTATGTAAATGTAAGAACTTAATTTTATTATTATTTATTATTTTGCAGAGTGTTGTGCATCTTGAAGATGCCTCTCTCAGAATAGGAGGACAAAAAGGAGAAAGAGTTTCGTTTCTCACCACTAGGGATGTCATAACGTTGTTCCAAAAAAAACACTAAAAACTCATAAGGATAATTTTGCTTTCTTTTTTTTCCAGAACCTATTGTCAAAGATCGCTGATATCTTTATACGTTACGTTAATTATGAACAAGTAATGTTTTATTATGACAGCGCCTCATCCTAAGTTTTATTTGTATTTTCTTTTAAAGTTTCTCTTTATTAATTCTGTACGACTCTCGTATTTTTTTAGTAGTTTATTATGATTGCATGGCCAAAAATATCACAGAAATTTCTTCACGAATTACTACTTTGGATATATTTTCAATTTTCAGAATAACTATTAGTGCAATTGACTGATAAATTTACTTGTAATGTCTATGGAGTTTATTATCAGTAGTGGGCAAAAAATAACGATTAACGAAAAAACTAAGTTATCAGAAATGCATGTAAAACGCACAAAAAAACCCATATAGATTGTTAATACTGTTTTTGTTTAATCTATTGAAATTGATAATTAAATAAAAATGATAAATAGCATTGACGCAGGTATTGAATTTTAAACTAAAGTAACCTGATATTTTTTGAAGTAAGAATATATATGTTCTACTTAACAAAAATAATTTGCACTTGTGTGGAAATCTTTAGAATTAGAAAAAATGTTCACAAATTGAAAAAAAAGAAAAAGAAACTTAAACAGAAAAAAAGTATTCAGTTTCAGCCAAAGGTTTTTATATATTTAATATGTGAATGACACGGTTGTTAATATCTATAATTTTAGTAATTTATTTAATAATAGTTTATGGTAATTATATCTGTTTAATTGTTACAATATTTTGTTTTTACAGGGATGATAGATAACTTAGGTTTTCAGAACATATCTGATTTTTGTAAACCATAAACATTGTTCTTCTCTGTCCAGAAAATAACATCAAGCAGTAGAAGTTATTTTATGACGAAGTTAAAACTGTAGGTTCGATTAGAATCAATAACAACAAAAAAGGCTTACCTGCTGGTGATAATTTGTGCATTAGAAGTTATCTTATGACGAGATTAAAACTGTAGGTTCGATTAGAATCAATAACAACAAAAAAGGCTTACCTGCTGGTGATAATTTGTGCATTAGAAGTTATATTATGACGAGGTTAAAACTGTAGGTTCGATTAGAATCAACAAAAAAAGGCTTACCTGCTGGTGATAATTTGTACATTTTCACCTGATGCGACTTAATTTGATTATAAATAATAAACCAGTGCTCGATCCAATTATGAATATCGAACGCCCTTAACAATTTTAAAATTTGTAAAAAAATAATTTTCACTCACTCCGCTTATGAAATATTCGTTTCTAATCTATGTATTTGAAAAAGGTATATTTAGTTCGTGTGTTCGTTAAAGTAACAATTGATTTGTAAAATACGTAGTATGATCTTTCTTACTTATGATTGAAAGTGTTTTAATAAGATGATAACTACCGTACTTAATTGTGGAAACTATGAAAAAGGCTGTGATTAAGTTTTCAAACAATCTAAATATTCATGGAGCAATGTGTTGAAATGTTTTGTTTTCAGATAAACGTAATTATATGCTTGTGTATAAGATACAGGTAACAATTCTTTACCAGAAATTTGACAGTGGCTATTTTGTACTTCTTTACTCACTTTCTTAGAAGTAATTTTGTCTTTATCTGATAGGTTTTAGCTCTTATTATAGAATCTAGGACGATATAGTAATAAATCTCTCTTTGGAAGGAAGGCGTGAGTTAATGACTGTAACCAGTAACAACGCATATGAAAGCTGACCATTAAATAACACTGTAGTTCCATGAAATATCATTAAAGATAGTTAGCAATATTAGGTACAATTTTAAGCCAGTTTCTTAAGCTGAACAGTGTTATTTAAAAACATTTGTTTTTGTTCATGATGGAACAGTTTTTCGACTTATAGGCCGGACCCATCTTTTTATTAAATATTTAGCATGGGGTCAGAGACGTTGTTATTAACAGACAAGGCAGGAGCAGTCCACAAAAACCTACGTAAAAAAACAACAACAACAATTCAAAAATCTCTTTATCTGTAGAAGGTTTTAGAGCAAATTATATTTCTGAAAGTGATATTTTCTTAGTACTAAAAATCGTTTAATTCAGTAAGTAGTAATTATAAGAATCTGAGATCGTAGGATCAATGTTTTGGATCAGACCAATAATCTATTTCGCTGGATTGCTAGTTCCAGAGGGTTGTATGTATTTTTCTGTAGCAAGACAGCAGCGTCTTTAAAAAGGCCAGTACATCAAACAAGCGATTGCATAATAGCATATTACTAGAAATGGAAGTATAGGAAGACAAAAACTCTATTGGAAAATCCTGAAATCTAAGGTCCCGGCATGGCCTGATGGTTAGGGCACTCGACTCACAATCTGCGGGTCGCGGGTTTGAATCCCTTCACCGAGCTTGCTCGCCCCTTCAGCCATGGAGACGTTATAATCTTACGGTCAATCCCACTATTCGTTGATAAAAGAGTAACTCAAGAGTTGGCGGTGAGTGGTGTTGACTAGTTGCCTTCCCTCTAGTCTATTACTAGCGCAGATAAACCTCAAGTAGGTTTGTGCGAAATTCAAACAAACAAACAAACTCGAAATGTAAATTTTATGCACGAAACACATAGTAACAAGAGAAATCAGAGAGAGATTGCATACTCTCGCTCCACCGCTCCTTTTAGAGATTGCGTGCATTTATATTCGAAAACGCCAAATTTCACCTTCGAAAACTCAGAACATCCTTCTCAGATCTAGAATGATCAACGATCCGAATCGTTTTTTGTAGTTTGATAAGGAGTCTCAATGTAATGTGCCCCTGAAATTTGGTACAAATCCGATCACACTTTACAGAGTTATTAACCCCAAACCGCAAAAATGTTTTATCTCCCCATTATAAACAAGAGGGAATCCTCAATAGCCGCGACTGTAGTTAGATGTCAAATCGGTCGCGAGATGGAGCTATGAGCTAAAAGTTTTCACCTAGAAAAAAAAAAAATCAGAGCCATTCTATGAGACAATTTGCTGAGGCTAAAAATGCTTCAAAGTGATTAAGAATCCGGACGAAATTTGGGAAGGACTGTCCCGTACTGACTTCCCACCTAATGTAAAATTTAAGTGTACATCAATCTATTAGTTTTCGAGATAAGTGCGCGGAAATACTGACAGACAAACCGACACGCAGATCTGATTCCAACGCCATCACCTCCTCTAAGAGATTCAATGTACCGTACCAAAAGTGCTCTGAAATATCGAAGTTACATTAGTGTATTTGTAACAAACCAACCAACTCTCTATCAGAAGAAAGGAGATTTTCTCTATGTTTTTTTTATCCAAAAGTTTATTTGACATATTGTTATTTGACGCACCTACATACATCATCAGCCATTTGACGCACCTACATACATCAATTGACAAACTTTAACAGTACAAATCCGTAGAATTTTTTCGTTTATCATAGATAAAACTAAATGATTAACTCCCATCATAGCATTTATTGTAGCATTTGAGTTATTACTGCACAATTCAACCCAGTTTCTCAGGGGCAGATTGAGTTTCTCAAGTGATGGTACTGAAGATTTGGCAGACACTCCTGAATAAGTGATTAAATGTACATCAAAATCTATTTCAAAATCATTACTGTAGTAAACTGCATAGCCTGCTATTTGTTCAATTGTGCTTTTATCAGTAAGTTAGTTTATAATTATTTTAATTAATTGTAGATTTTAGCATTTCAGCCAACACATCATTAAATTATCTAGAGAAATTAGTTACATTCTGCACAGTTATAGAACGGCCAAGTCTAACCTTCAGAAGCTAACTTTAAAAATCTCTGTACACTACCCTGCACTGCAATGTAATAAAACCAAGGCCCGGCATGGCTAGGGGGTTAGGGCGCTTGACTCACAATCTGCCGTGGGGGCGTTATAATGTGACGGTCAATCCCACTATTCGTT